TGTATGAGAACTCCTGTTTTCCTCACAACCTTGCCAATACTGAGCATTATCAATCTCTTTTATTCCTGTCTTTGCCAACCTGATAGGCAAAACAAACAGATAGACCTTTCATTGGCTATTTTAATGTGTATTTATTTAATTATGAGTTAGGCTAAGCATCTTTTAAAATCTAATGCTTTAGCCAGTTACTACTACAGAGAAAAGATATGTGGAGAGGAAGACAGAGAGAGAGAGAAAGGGAGAGGGAGAGAGAGAAATGCAGACTTCTTAGCACTTGGGCCATCAATGGGTATTATTTGCTTGGATAAGCAGACAAGGACTCTTTGACACTTGTCGAAACCAGTTGATGAAATCAATGTCATCTCACCAGGCTGTTGCATTTGAGTCTCTAATTCTTTGACAGTCCATCATGTCCTTGTCAATTACTTTGCCAATTTTTGATACCACATTATACTGTGTTTATATAGGGAAAATCTAAGAATCCTTACAAAACTCTGACAACAGTGGTTTAACATTTGTGTGTTCCGATATTGTTGCTTTTTTCATGTCATCATAAATTATAAAATGTGATGTATTTCTTATTCTTAGACAGATGATCAATGTATAACTGTTGCCCCTTAACTATGTCTCCTCGTATTTCCACTTCTAAATGAATATATTATTCACAGTCTACTAGTCAGAGCTATACAATGAATAACTATAATGACAGAGATCAGCAGAATAGCAACAACGTCTTACAGGCAGCCTGGGCCATGGGTTGGGGAGGCTTGTTGTAATTTACCGCTAGGCCTGTCGAGTCCTGATTCTCCTTTTTGAAATGCCGAGTGTTTTTGCCATCATCCTCTGCTGATTTCTTGGGCTTCATTATAATATATCTTTTTTGTCAGTTGCCAGAATAACAGATGCTATTCTTCAGAGGCTTTTCATCATGCAATATCAATTGTATATTAGGCTACTGTCTTAAACTTCATAGTACTTTTAACTTTTTGAAGTGTTTTTGTATCTGTTTTATGCAATTTTAAAGTAAAATTGAGCTTTTGTCTTAAATTCTGCACTAAGAAGGGACATAATCTGTAGGCGTTGTGGTCAGCATATCTCTACACACATGAATCAACTAAAAGGATCACTAAAAAAAACAAATTTGGGTACTGAACAAACATCTAATCCTGTGTCAACCTGCCTTTGTGTGTTCCCATGTTTGGCAGTGTTTGAGAAAGGGTCTCATGTATACTGACTTTTCTGGTTGCTTACATATTCTCATCCATTGTTTAATTCACAAAACAGTTCTAATTTGTGCTAAACACCATGTGAATTGCTTGGGTTAACGGACAGCAACATTTTTTTCTAAAAAAAATCTAAATCTTTGAGAAAATGAAGGTTCTTTTTGGAAAATGTATTTAGAATACTTGGTGAAACACTTTATATACCTGTAATGGGGGGGGGGGGCGGATATTACTTTAGGTGAAAAATGGCTGTTGGATTTACTCTCAGAGATTCATATTGTGTTATATTTATTTAAATCAAATCTTCCATGAAAGTTTCATCTCTTACAGTTCTGGGATCTAAAGTCACCTGGATAGGATGTGAATGACATGAAGTTATAGGCAGGAAATAATTTTGATTATAAAAGTAAAATACATTGTGTAACCACAAACTGAGACTTCTTTTTCAAACTCCACACTTTCAAACAAGTCTCATTACATTACACCTTGTTCTTACTTCGCTTCCTGCTTAATGCTGGAGCTTCGTCTCATACCCCGCTGCCCTGCTCCTCAGCGTCCGGCACACAGGCCTCCTTCCTGTCCTTCCACCACGTTTCAGGCCTTCGCACTCATGTTCATCCTTTAGGTCTTAGGTCCTCAGAGAGGCTTTCTCTGACCATGTTCTCTAGCTCAGCATCCTACTTATTCTTTTCAGGTACACATCACTCCCTGAATTATCTCATTTCCTCATGCACTTGTTTATCGTCTGCCTCATCCTCTAGAAGGCAAGGCCAGTGAGGGGAAGGTCCTTATTCTCAGCTCTCCTTCAGGGAGCTGAGCTTCACTAGCATTTGTGGTTTAGCACACATGCTGTTGGAAATGATTTTGGAATTTTTCTTCCAAATGAAAATCTGAGGTGGTGGAGCTGACGTTTTACTCTTAATTCACCTTTAAAACAAGTAAAGAATTCCCAAATAGGACTTTCTCTTGAAAGACTTATAGCCTAAATGGAATCAAGCAATGAAAATTTAATTACGGTTCTTAACGATTACTTGGTTTCATTCTATGAATTTAGTACACATCCTACTTTTCAAAGATTCAAATTTTGATATAATCCAATTTAATTTTATTCTTCCTAGTACTATTTATTTTTACAAATACTTGTTGGTTTAAAAAGGATGTAATGCTCTTCTCAGTGTTTTCTGGCTAATTCACTCTGTATTAGTATCTATATTAACAATCAATCTATTTTCCTTTTAACTATGTGGATTTTTTCCCTTTTCTTGGGGTCTCTTTCACTCTAAAAAACTTCCTATTTCCTCTTTTTTATCCCATGATATTTAACTGTTGAAAGAAACCAGGTCATTCATCCTATAGAATTTTCCATAATCTAGATTGGGTTAATTTTATCCATTTATTCCTATTGTATCATGCCAGGGGGAACATATTTTGTTGTCTCACTTTTAGTGATGTTGAGATTGATCAGTGGACTTAACTGTCGTCAGCCTGGCCCATCATTACAAAATTCTCCGTCAGCCTTTCACCTAGGAATTTAGGGCTGACTTAAACCTGGAGAATGCAGGTGGAGATGTGTGAAAACACAGAGGTCTAGTTCTTTGCACATTTTCACTGCCTAGCTATCACAGCTGCTGATGCCTATTGCCTGGATCCATTGTTTCATGGGTTGCAAAATCGTGATTTTATAATTCTATCACACCTACTGTATTTGTTAGCTGTTATTTTTGTACAAAAACATTTCCCCCTCATCGACTCTTTGGTTATCTCAAAATACAGTTTGTGTGGAAAAGGTAGGAAAAGAGCTTTTTCTCCCCTTTTATTAATTTTTAGGGTAATAAAATGGTGCCTAGCAACCTTCAAAAGCAGCCAGCTATTATTTTTTAATGAAGGACTGGGTTTTTATGCATGTGATGTATTTCAATTTATTTGAAAGTTTTTAATTCAAACTAATTCAAAAGGAAGCTGAGCTACATTTCAACACTGTCTGAGTATCTGGATCCTGCCATACCTGTAAGGTCCAGGTATTCCTGACAGTACAGTTTCATGACTCAACTCACCCCTTTTATCTGCTTAAACAACTTGAATTACTTTTTTTTTTTTTTTTGTCATTTGCAGCCTAGATTCTTAACACAGATCTGTCCTTTCTTCCAGCTCTGTCCTAAAACTTTGATTTTATAAAAACTTTGGATTTTATGAAAACAAAAAAAGGTTTCTTTAAAATTACACTGGCATTTACGAGGATCATCTCTGCCACTCCTTCTTTGCGCTTTGAATCTTGGCAACTCTCTCGAATAAAATAAAAGAGCTGAAGATGCAAAAATAACTGACTCTTTTCCACCAAAGGAGAAATTATTTTAAAAAGGAATTTGAATTTCAGGCTCAGAAGTTTTCTATACTTAACTAAAGTCACCAGACGCCTGGGGCACGTGCTATTACTATAGAAAGTCACTTTCTTGCGGAACCGGGTATGCACCTTCCATTGCTGGAAATCACACTTTTTAAGAAGCGACCACAGAGCTCCACGATGAAAGCAGGGGATGAGCAGGAGCGTGGACAGGAATTTAGGACTGATACAAACTTGGAGGATGTAAGTGGAGAGGTGTGAAAAAAACAAAGAGGTCCAGTTCTTTGCCTATTTATTACTGTTCTGCCTGATTTACAGAGCTGAGATGAGGAGTATTTAAGTAAGTCTAAAAAACCACCACCAACCAAGGGCTTTAAACAGCAGCGGCTTAAATACGATCTAAACAGAAAAATAAGAATAACGGCAAAGCCCTTCCATGTGGTGAAAAGCAGTGAACAGGGGAGTCAGAAAGCTCTAGATCCATCCATTTACTCCACAGCCTTCAGAGACCCAACACAGGCCGGACGCTGGAGATTCCCAGCTAACGCCAGACCGGCGATGCGGAAGGGGTTGTCTTGCCCTGACTTCCTCTCCCTTGGAAGGTGGAGCTCCCTTGGCTTCGTTTAGAATTGGTTTGAACTAAAAACCTTCAAGCAGATTGAAATACATCAAACATATATCAATCTAGTACTCCATTTAAAAATAATTGGCTACTTTTGGAGGTTTCTAGGCACCACTATAATCCTAAAAATTAATAAAGGGAAAAAAGGCATTTATCCTGCCTTTCCTACACGATCTATATTTTAGGGTAACCAAAAAGTTGATGAAGGAAAACTACAAACGCATCCATTAGATCAGTTGATCTAAAATCTTCCGATAAACACGTGCGCTTCGCCTACCGCAGGGGACACTCGGGGAGGGTTCAGTAAGAGGGGGCAGCACTCGCTGGGCTGCGGGTCGGGCGGAGCCTCGCTCCTTCCGGGCCTGGGTCTCACAAGCACCAGCGCCCTGCAGGTGACTCGGCCAGGGCGCCGTCCCTGCCGATGGCGTTAGGCCGGCTCACCCCGCAGTCGGTCTGCGGCACCGCAGCCTTTCCGGCCCACGTGCCCGCCAACCCACGGCCTCTCCGCCTACCGAACAAATAGGTGAAAACGCCGACAGCTGAGGCTCTGACGTACACCGCGCGGCTCCCCCTGCTGACGGCGCGCGGCCCCGACGTGCGGCGCGCGGCTCCCTCGGCTGGCGGCGTGCGCGTGCGGCCCCCACGTGCGGCTCCCCCTGCTGGCGGCGTGCGCGAGTCGCCCCGACGTGCGGCTCCCCCTGCCGACGGCGTGAGGCGTGCGGCCCCGACGTGTGGCTCCCCCTGCGGCAGGGCGCGGCCCTGACGTGCGGCTCCTCTGCCGACGGCGTGAGGCGTGCAGCCCCGACGTACGGCTCCTCCTGCGGCGGTGTGCGGCCCAGACGTGCGGCTCCACCTGCTGGCTGCGTGCGGTGCGCGGCGAGACCGCCCAGCGGGACCGCCTCCCGGGCGCCGACCGTCGCGGCAGTCGCGCCCTCGGCCAGCCGTGCGAGGCCGGCTCTGGCCACGAGTGTTCTTTCTGGCTCGGCGCTTCCGCCGGCCCTCAGAGCGTCCTTCTGCGCGGGAAGGGGGCGTTGGAGGAGGAGGATAGGAAGACGCCGAGTGGGCGGCGACGATGGAGGCAGGCGCCCAGGCCCCGGACTGGGACAGTGATGAGACTGTGGTCGCGGGGTCGGTGACGGAGAGCGACCCGGAGGAAGAGGAGCTGCCCTGGAGACGGTGACGCGTTAGGCCGGGCCTGGCGGCGGGCGGCCCTGGGGCTGGCGTGGCCGGGCGCTCGCGGGCAGGCTTGGGGCCGGGCAGCCGGGGCTGGGCGAACAGGGGAAGGGACGAGACCGCCGCCCTAGCCCCCCGTTAGGGCAGAGTGAGCTGTGCAGTGCGCGGCCCTGAGTCCCTCTGCACAGGCCGAGAAGTCTTGGGTCTGGACTCCCCGGATGCATTTTGCTTCAAGCAGCTCGTGGCTCAGGTCTAGGAGATGGTTAACGTAGTTTCTCTCGGGAAAGGAATGTGTGATGGGGGAACTGGGTACTTCCAAACTGGAAACGGATCGTTTCATAAGGATCCCCAAAGCCGGTAGTTGAGCTCATCAAAGTTTCTAGAACATAGCTAGCCCTCTTTGCTGGATGCAGGGAAAGATAGAAGAGGGGAGGCCCCTGCCTTTGAGAAACCTCCAGGCCGGGAAAGACACCTGAGCAGGTCGTGGCAGTCCGATGTGGGGCGTCCAGGGATGGAAGGATGCCCAGGCTGGTTAGGAGCGGAGGGACTCTTAACCTAGGTGGTCGTCAGGCTTTGCTGGGGTTGACTCCCGAATAGAGGCTGGAAGGAGGGTCAGGAATTAGTCCGGTGAAGGAGGGGAGGTCTTCTAGGCCAAGGGGACTGCACGGTGGGAGGAAGCATTGCCTTGTGTGTGTTGGGACGTACAAACAGTTAAGTCTCACGGAAGTGTGAAATGGCGAGGTGGGGACTGGTGAAGGATGAGCCTGGAGAGGAAGGCAGGGTGAAGTGTCAGCCTTCCCACATCCTGCGTGTGTCCTGGCGGGGTGCTTGTAAGATGTTAAGTGGAGGAGCAGAGTAATCAGATTTTCGTTGGCTCTGGCATGCCCTTGACCAGGGCTTCTGAAATTTCCGTGCCCTTATAATCACCCCAGAATCCCGTTAAAATGTGGATTCTAGTTCAGGAGTTCCAGGGTGGGGTCTGAACTGCTGCATTTCTAACAGGTTTCCAGGGTAAAGTCAGTTCTGTTAGAGCAGGGGTCACCTTTTGCAAAACAAGGCTATAGAGGTTAGTTTTGGCATCAAAGTAGTAACAGACTGGGATTATGAGAGCTCAACTAGGAGCAAGCAGTGGGAATGGAGGGAAAAGGGCAAATCTGAGAAATCCTACAAAGTAAATTTGGCAGGAGATGGTTGATAGGATTTGGAGCATGAGGGAAGGGCAGCGGTAAAGGATGATACCCAGGTTTTTGGCTCTTTTATATATACACACAGTAATAGTTGCTCTTGTTGGTGTACAGGGAGCATTTTGACTAATTGGAGTCTTACAACCACCAGCACAATCAGGGTCCACAACAGTGCCATCATTCCAGAAAAAACTCCCTTGTGCTGCTCCTTTGTAGTCAGGTCCCCTCTCCCCCATGTAAATCATTGTTCCCATATATGTAATATATCATCTTAACTTCATCTGCTTTCATTCCTGCCCCCCCCCCCCATCTTTGGTACTTAGCAGTTTGATTATGGTGTGTCTGGGCGTGATTTTGTTTGTGTTTTTCCTGTTCTGGGCTCACTGATCTTCTTGAATCTGTAAATTTGTGTTTGTCACCAAACTTGGGAAGTTTTCTGTTGTGATTTCTTCATATATTTTCTTTCTGCACCAGTCTCTCTCCTCTCCTTCCAGGGCTTTAAATGATGTGAATGTTAGACTTTTTGATGTTGTCCCCCAGATCCCTGAGGCTCTATTAATTAAAAATTTTTTGGGGGGGGCCAGCCCCGTGGCCGAGTGGTTAAGTTTGTGTGCTCTGCTTCAGCAGCCCAGGGTTTTGCTGGTTCAGATCCTGCGCGTGGACATGGCACTGCTCATCAAGCTGTGCTGAGGCGGCGTTGCACATGCCACAACTAGAAGGACACACAACTAAAAAATATTCAACTATGTACTGGGGGGAGGGGCTTTGGGGAGAAAAAGGAAAAATAAAATCGTTAAAAAAAAATCCTTTTTTCCTCTCAATTCTTCAGACTGTGTAATTTGTATTGCTGTATCTTCAGGTTCACTTAATCTTTCCTTTGTCATCTCTATTCTGTTGTTGAGCCCATCTGGTGAAGTTTTAATTTCAAATATACTTTTCTCTTCTAAAATTTCCATTGGCTTATCTTTTACAGTTTTTATTTTTCTGCTGAGAACTCCAGTGTTTTCACCCATTTGATGAGTGTTCACCTTTATCTCATAGGAAATTATTATGATAACTGCTTTAAAGTCTTTGCCTTGTAATTCCAACATCAGGTCATGATGGGTGGGGAGTTGGCATCTGTTAATTACCTCTTCTCTCAAGAATTTGTCAGATTTTCCTGTTCTTTGCAGTAATTCTGGATTATATTGTATATTTTGAATATTTCTTTTTTGGATGCTTGGTTGTGTTAAAATCCTCTGGAAGGTGTTGATTTTTGTTTTGACAGGCAGTGAGCCTGCTTAGGTTGTGACTGCACGTTCTGTGTTGCCTTCTGTGAGTGGTGGTTACATCGGTCCAATTTTCAGAGCCTTTGCTCTGCTGTTTGAGTTTGACTCATGTAGCACTCGGGTTAATCTGGAACTTGGGCAGTAGTTAATGTCATAGTTCAGTTCTCTAAGCCTTTGTTATCCTTCTTCGAAGCTGCTCCACATGTTGACAGCTCAGCATTGAGACTGGAACTTATGTTCGATCGTACACAGAATTAGGTGATTGCTCTTTCCTGCTCTCTTTTCCCCAGGATTCTCATGTGCTCTTCCCTGTGGATACCCGCATGCTGGTTCATATGACCAGAAAGACCTAGATTTCTCTGAGTGTTAGCCTTCTCACTGCAGAGCAGTTCCCTGCAGTGGGGGCCACCTTCAGGGCAAAGGGTTAAGAGAGAGAAGAAAATAAAAGAGATTTTCTCCATATTCTTCACAGTATGGTTCCTCCAGCTGGAGAGACAGGTTTTCTCTTGGGTTTTAAGTGCCAAAGCTGCCATGGTTGGTAGCAGTAGAGTTGTGAGGCTAAAGAGAGAAGACAAATACAAGAAAACCCAGGGATTCCCCCCACACCTACTGGCGTTCAGGGATCCCTTTCCTTAATCTTCTGGAGAAAGATAAGGGTTTTCTACTGGAGTTTTTACTGACTGTGCCCACTGTGCACTTCTGGGATGAGGCCTTCCATCAAAGCTGGAGACAAGGGGCCAGCCCGGTGGTGCAGCGGTTAAGTTCGCACGTTCTGCTTCTCGGCAGCCTGGGTTTGCTGGTTCAGATCCCGGGTGTGGACATGGCACTGCTTGGCAAAAAGCCATGCTGTGGTAGGCATCCCACGTATAAAGTAGAGGAAGATGGGCATGGATGTTAGCTCAGGGCCAGTCTTCCTCAGCAAAAAGAGGAGGATTGGCAGCAGTTAGCTCAGGGCTAATCTTCCTCGAAAAAAAAAAAAAGCTGGAGATGAAAAAAGGACCAAAAATTAAAACAAAAAACAAACTGTGGCACTCACGTATTACAAGGTTGTTATGTCGATTTCAGTTTCAGTCCCCAGTCTACCTGCTGTTGTTTACTTTTCAGATTACTCCTGTAGGTTTTTAAAGATACTCTACCAGAGTTTTTAGTTGTAGTGAGTGGACAAATACACTATAGATGCCTCACTCTGTCTTGGCTGGCCAATCTTTTTTTTTTTTTTTTGGCTCTGATTCATTTAAAAATGATTCTCTGCAGTGCCATAGAAACATCATTCTTTCAGACATCATAGCCCAAGGTTTAAAATTAGTATTCTTTTTATTAGCATGGCATTACAGTCAAAGTCTAAGCATTGCTGGAGCTGAATGCCATTGTTTTCTGGTTTTTTCCTTCATCTTCATTGCTTACTTGTTTGCAGTTCATTCTGGCCGGTTTTCCTGCACAAGCTCCCAGCTTTGACTGGAATGAGGAGCACAGATCCTAGTAGAGAAGAGATCTCCAATGGGCAAAGCATTATATAGTTTCACATAGCTGAATAATCCTTAAATGTTGCAGCTATTAAGGTCTTTTTGCTAGGAACTGAGAAAGGGTTCAGTGAGCTTTGGGACTGGAAAAGGCGAGGCTTTCAAAGAATCAGAATGCCAGTTGTTGCCTGTGTCTGAAATAGCACTCTTTGAGGGCCTCAGTTTGGTCCTAGCCCGCCCTCTGGAAACTGGCCTAAAATGCATCCAGTCCTTTTTGTGGCTTGGTAGGTGTTGCTACTAATCTTCTGGAAAAATTCAAGTTGCTGAGTAGTAAGATGTTGTTTGCTTGTTATTTGTTTTCTGAGAGGCAGGATTCATTTTTCCTGTGTATGCCCTGGGAGCTTTTTAAGGGGCGAAGTGAAGGGACACAGGGATGGATGCTAGACTTCTCTGAATAGATCTGGTTTTGTCCTTTTGTCTTTGGAATGATGTAAGTGGTTTACATAACTATAATTACAAAACAAAATTAAATCTACATAAAAAAGAATTTCTAAAGAGCAAAAGCAAGATGAAACAGTTGAACCTAATTATGTATTGATTTGGTAGCATAATTACAGAAAAAGGAATTATTTTAAATGCCTTTAAAACATAGAATTTAGCTCTACATGCTGAACAAGGTGTACACTAAGGACATAAAGAGTTACAAAATAACTTTTTTCTGTAATCACATTGTTAATAATAATGTTTAGTATGTACTTTGAATATAATAGCCCATTCAGAGGAACCAAGGCTCCGTGAGAAATGACCAGTTCCAGGTCTAAGGCAGGAGATGTGTAAGATGAGCCTGGGATATTTCATCCTGGGAAGCTAGGGAAGACTAGTGGTGCATTGGTTTGCTCAGGTGGCCACAGAAATACCATAGACTGGGTGGCTTAACCAACAGAAATTTATTTTCTTCAAGTTCTGGAGGCTGGAAGTCCAAGATCCAGGTGCTGGCAGGTGTTGCTTTCTCCTGAGGGCTTGCTCCTTGGCTTGCAGGTGGCCACCGTCTTGCTGTGTCCTCATATGGTCTTTCCTCCATATACATGTATCCCTGGTGTGTGTGTGTCTCTCTTTTTATATGGACACCAGTCATATTGGATTAGGGCCTCACCCTTATGGCCTCATTTAACCTTAATTACCTCCTTAAAGGCCCTGTCTCCAAATGCAGTCACGTTTGGAATTAGGGCTGCAAGATATGAATTTTAGAGGGATGGAATTCAGCTCTAACAAGTGGTTTCATGTCAAACAACCCATGAACCACTTTGACGAGGCTCCCACCAGCTAAAAATAAGACAATTTGATCACTGACGAGAATAGTAACAGCAGTGTATTTAAATCTATGAGTTTATAATGGTCTTTAGAAAAACTTATTTCACTATCTGCAAACTAGTATAGAAAGAGAAGCAGGCATTTATCTTGCCTTTCCTATGCAAACTATACCTAAGTGACATGGCTGAGAAGGTAGCTTAACTGAATAATTATATAGTTGACAAGTGAAAGTTTTAGTATGTATTTCCATTAATAAATGAAGAAAGTGATAAAGTAGAATATCACCATTTTATATACTCCTGATAAGATAATGAATAGACTGAGGCAATGGTCATCAGTGGCCACTAAATCACAAAAAGAGTGACAGCCTTCCTGTTGAGCATGTGACATCTGTTGCCAATCACCGGGAGTGGAAATCAGATACTTCTGCCCGCTGCATCTTGGTGTTGGAGTTACCAAGGAGAAAACAACATTTAAGCACTGTCTGGAACAACACTTTACTCAGAAAAGACAACAAAATCAGCTTCACTAGTGGGCATTGGTCTCCCATGGCCACTGGTCACTGTCTGCAGCTGATGCGGGGCCATTGGCCTGCGCACATCCCTCCTGTGCCACAGAATGAAGGACTTCATCCTCTCCCCACAGAGGACAGATAGAGGAGTGGGCTTGGCCAGGTGCCATATGACACATCGGCTTAAACCGAACAAAGGGGTACATACTGCATTTGAAACGGGGAAAGGGATTCCCACATGAGGTGGTAAGTCCAGCACAGGCTGGGAGGATGCTTTATCTCTTGGTGAGAAGGCGTTCCGTGCCCAAGGCTGAGACGGGCTGGAAAGACTGTATGCACACGACTGCGTCTCCCAACACACCTCATTAGCTCCTGAAGGAAGTACACATATGCCCCCTCAAATTGGACTTGAATCAGATCAAACTTCTAGATCTGTTAACCTGTTTACAGGAAATACACAGGACAGAGGAACATGTTAAGTGACATGCAATCAGCAAATCCAAAATGTGGGAAACTCTGTAGGAAAATCAACCCAGTTTCTTCAGTAAATAAATTGCAAAGGCGTGAGTGGGGGAAGGAGTAATTTATAGATTTAAAGAGAGACTTAAGAGACATAGCAACCAAATGGATGCCATGCACCTTGTTTGGATCCTGTTTGAACAAAATGACTGAAAAGAGACATTTGGGGAAATGTGACTACAATCTGTTTATTAGTTTTCCATTGCTGTATTACAACTTACTCTAAAACTTAGTGTCTTAAAACAATAAACATTTATTATCTTATAGTTTCCATGGGTCAGGAGTCCAGGAGTGGCTTAACTGGGTCGTCAGACTTAGGGACTCACAAGGCTGCGTTTATCTCAACGCTTCGTGAGAAGGATTCCCTTCCTCCTATAGTACTTGTAAGACTTAGTTCCTCTTTGGCTGTTGAATTGAGACCTTGGTTCCTCTCTGACTGTTGAGTGGAGGCCTCCCTTAGTTTCTTGCTACTTAGGCTTCTCCACAGGGCATTTCACAACATGGCAGCCTGGCTTCCGTGAGAGGGGAGAAGCAAGAGAATAAGAGAGGGGGAGCAAGATAGAAGCCAGTGTCTTTTTGTAACCTACTCTCGGAAGGAACAACATCCCAACATATTTGCTGTATTCTCTTCTTTAGAAGAGTCACTGGATCCAGTCCATACTTAAGGGATGGGTTTATACAAGGCATAAATACCAGGAGCCACTTGAGAGGCTGCTTGCTACAGACTGTAGATTGAATAATATTAAGAAATTATTGGCTTGTCTTAAGTATGATAATTATGGTTTTTTTTAAGGTGTGATTATTACAGTTATCTTTGGAAAGTCCTTATCTTTTAGAGTTGCATACTGAAATATTTCCAGATGAAATGGAATGAGATATCCAGGATTTGCTTCAAAATAACCCAGTGGAAGACTGGCAGAGGGTAGCAAGCATGGCAGAGGGATTCTAGAGGAAAGAATATTGGCTGTGTACTTATAATTGTTGAACCTAGATAATGAATATACTATTGTCTCTTTTTTTGTTGATATTGTAATTTTCCCTGAAAAAGTAAGAAAGAAAATGAGCAAGTAAGTAAACAAAAAAACCCCTTAGTACCAAATCATATATTCACATCTTAGTACACTGTGCATTCTTGGATTCTGGAAAGGTTTTTCAAAATTTTATTTTTTATTGTGGTAAAATATATATAACATTAGATTTAGCGTTTTAACCATTTTTTAATAAAGATTTTATTTTTCCTTTTTCTCCCCAAAGCCCCCCGGTACATACTTGTGTATTTTTAGTTGTGGTTCCTTCTAGTTGTGGTACGTGGGACGCCGCCTCAGCATGGCTTCATGAGTGGTGCCATGTCCGTGCCCAGGATCTGAACTGGTGAAACCCCCAGCCACTGAAGCCGCTGAAGTGGAGCCCGTGAACTCAACCACTCAGCCATGGGGCTGGCCCCAATTTTAACCATTTTTAAGTATACAGTTCAGTGGCATTAAGTACATTCACATTGTTGTGCAGCCATCACCACTGTCCATCTCCAGAACTTCTTCATCTTCCCCAACTGATACACTGTTCGCGTTAAACACTAACTCCCCATTCCTCCCTGCCCTCGGCCCCTGGCACCCACCCTTCTGCTTACTGTCTGTGAAACTGACTACTCTGGGTACCTCATAGTGGAATCAGGCAATATTTGTCCTTTTGTGTCTGGCTTATTTCACTTAGTATAATGTCTTCAAGGTTTATCCATGTTGTAGCATGTGTCAGTATTTCCTTCCTTTTTAAGGCTAAATAATAATCCCTTGTATATGTGTACCAGATTTTGTTTATCCACTCATCTGTTGATAGACACTTGGGTTGCCTCCACCTTTTGGCTCTTGTGAATAATGCTTCTCTGAACATGAGTGTACAAATATCTGTTCAAGTCCTTGCTTTCAGTTATTTTGTGTACATACCCTGAAATGAAATGACCGGATCAAATGGTAGTTCTGCGTCTGATTTGTTGAGGAGCCACCACACTGTTTTCCACGGTGGCTGCACCATTTTACATCCCCATGAGCAGCGCACAAGAGTTCTAATTTCTCCATCTCCTGGCTAACACTTGTTGTTTTCTGTTTTTGTTTTTGATTGTAACCATCCTAACTGATGTGAAGTGATATCTCATTGTGGTTTTGATTTGCGTTTTCCTAATGTTTAGTAGTGTTGAGCATCTTTTCATGTGCTTATGGCCATTTCTCTATCTTCTTTGGAGAAATGTCTGTTCAAGTGCTTTGCCTGTTTTTGAATTCTGTAAGGGCTTTTTAAATAGAAAAGATAAACACTGAAGTTTGCCCAGGAACATACTCACTGTGGTGTATCGTTGTTACTTCTTAGTTTTGTGTCCCTCTCTAGATTTGAAGCTTCTTGCTGGTGAGAGCTGTGTGTCTTCTCTCTGTTACCTCGGTGCTGCCTAAAACATAGTAGGAAGTGAATCCAAAAATTAAAGGAATTCTGTCATTGTGTATTCTGAAAACATACACTCAAATTTAACTCTGGGATTTTAATCTCAGATTCTCTGTGGTGTAGAGAAACATGAAGGAAAAAACCCGTCAGCACTGGTCCGTCAAATCATCTTCTCATTTCATGTCCCTTCAAAAGCAATATTGATATTTGTCCCTTAATCCCAAGTATCCAAAAACAGCAGAATATTTGTAAAAATGAATATGACCATGTGAATAAGTCTTTATTTTTCGTCTTGGATAAGTTTTTAACTAAAGGATATATTTCTGAAAAAATACTTTGACATAGAAATATTAATAGTGGTGCAACTAAGAATTTTAGCAAGTTTAGGTATAATAAGAAATGATTAAATTGTTAGTCTTTCTTTGGGAAACATGATAATAATCTGTACCTTCTTTTTTGATATTTGAAAGGTTGCTCTTTGATCAAGACACACATCTTACATCTGAGTTCAGTTTCCATCCTGGTATAAGTGGAACGTGCAAAGGTGAGAAAGAATTCTTTTTCACTAAGTAGTTCCTTTAATTTCTCAAGTGTTATTATTCCATTAACTGCTTTTATACTTACTTGCTCTTTAACTTTACACAGTTAGTTTCTTATAAGCATCTGTAATAGACCCTAAAGTTGGTTTAAGTCTATTAGTATAAGAACAGCAATGGGATCGTAACTTCTGGAAGATGTTTACGACTCCTGGAGGGCTGCAGAGATCTGGAAGTGGCACTCAGATAGCTGTTCTTCCCCACATCTCCAGCTTAATCCTAGAACCTGTCAATCTGCAAAAGTAAATAGCACTTTTTAACAACCAATCTGATTATTTCAGACTGAAATTAAGGTACAAATACCCTTGGTATAATATTTTTATTTAATTAATTTTTAATTGAGGTATAATTGACGTATAACATCATGTTAATTTCAGGTGTACAACATAATGATTCAATATTTGTATTGTGGAATGATCACCACAGTAAGTCTAGTTAGCATAGTCTATTATGTTAGTCTAGTTAACGTAGTCACACAATGTCTAGGTATATATATTTTTAACAAGTGCCTTTCACTTACCAATTCTCCATACGTCCTGAGTCCACTTCTATGTCAATTTAAGTGCTTCTAGAAAAATCTATCATTGATCATCACTGTTCAAAAAGATCAATTCTGCAGTAGCTGTTTAAATTAGAGGTTATTTCCTTTTATGATTTCTTCTTGTGAGCCATTTTTTGTTGTGGAGGATGTCTGGAAATAGGTGTAGAATAGAAGAAAAATTTCCCTAAACACCAGGAAGATCTTCTTTTATGTATAGTTCAGAGTCTTTTTCTGTACATCATCTCACCTGATACCCCAATGGTAAGTTACAGTTTCATCTTGGAGTGGTTTTCCTGCATGTAATTGGAAGGGACAGTGTGTAATAGTGGTCTCTAGAATCTGTTCTTAGGATGTGTGAAGTGCCACTAGGAAGAAGTTAGACATCTGTTTTAATATTCCAACCAAGTTTTTTCTTTCCCTTTCGAAATGGATAGACCTTGATTATTTTTGATAATTTTTAAAAGTAAAAAATGTTTTTAAAATACAGAATTATATAGTGTAGAAAGTGAAAGGTTCCATCCCCTACTCTTCTGCAGAATTCCACTCCCAACAATTGGTAGTGTTTAGTATTTGTATATCCTGCTAGACTTTTGTATGCCGATATGTATGTCTTTTTTCATAACTGATATTGTATTACATAGATTTCTTTGCTTGTTATATTGATCTACCTCAACCTTTCAAATTGCTACCTATTATTCCATTGTATGATATACCCTTATTTAATAAATTGGTATTTTTATGTTTCTCAATACTATAACAAATATGAATATTCTAATACTTGCTCCTTTGCCTGCTTTTCTGATTATTTCCTTAGAATAACTAGCTAAAGTTAGATTTCCCTTTAAAGGATGTACATGTCAGATCTTGACATATATCGCCCTCTAAAAAAGATAGCTTTTTTGCTCTAGATCCAACACAGGACATCTTCAGTCTTTGCTAAACTGGTAAATAAAAAGTATCTGATCATTTTAGTTTGCATTTTTGAAAAATACCACAGTTAGGCATATTTTAATATTGACCATTCATAGTTGTTTTTTGTGTGTGAATTGCCTTATATGTCTCCTAATTATTCTCACTTTATTATTGATTTATAAGAGCATTTGATGTATTAAGGATAGCAAAACTTTGTCATATATATGCAAATAGTTTTACCCAGGTTACTAGTTTTAATGCTGTTCATGATATATTTGTACAGAAATTTTAAGTTTTTATGTCGTAAAATCTGTCAGTCTTTTAGGGTTTCTTGTTTTTTTCAAACTTAGAAATATTTTACCTACTTCAACTATTTTCTTTTGTCTTTATTCCTATTTATTGTATTTACAGTTTTTACATTTATATCTTTAAGCTCTTTTGAATATTTTGGCATATGGGAAGGTAGTTCTGTAACTTCATTTTTTCAAGTAGCTAACCAATTGCCCCAAAACTATCTATTGAATAACGTATCTTGTTACTACTGTTTAAAATACCATGAATTTTCAATTCTCAGCTATTTATAGATCTGTTTCCCACTTTTTGATTTGTTTCATTGATCTGTATGACTATTTCTACTTATGTGCCATCCTGCAATATTTTAACAACCTTAGATTAGTACATTTCTATATTTGGTAGGGAAGATCTCCTCCTACACAGAGTAGCTGGCTATAGCGGTCATCCTCAGCTTCTTTGGTACAAACAGCAAGCTCAGTGAAGTATGAAACTTTGCCCACCACTTTACCCTCTTCCATCTTTTGTTGGTGGGATTGGCTCTGAGCTGGGTGGTTTTCTGGGATTCTGATGGAAGAAATCCACGTAGTTACTTCTGAAGAAGCCCTCCTTTTCCTGTGTTGAATGACAAGCTGCTTACCAATGTTTGGTTTCCCTTTAATCCATTTCTATCTTCTAATCTATAGTGAGTATATTTCCTTTTTTTCTCATTGCTGCTTCAGTTTTGTTTTTTTTTTAAACTAATCATTTCTTTGGATTCTCTCTAGGAACTGGAAAGGGAAGAAAAGTTAAAATATGGGCTCAATTTGCCATCTTAAAAACAGAAACTCTGACTTTCCCTGAATTATATACTAGCATTATGAGTTTTTTAAAATGACCTAAAATGAAATAAAAAGAAGAAAGTATTCTTTGTAGTGGGGTTTAAATCTATATAACTTTCTATACATATCTTTTCCATTCATTCATCCTGAAACAAAGAAATATCAAGTACTGTTTTATTCAGTGTAGTATATTTGTTTCTTTCTAGATAATAATTTAAAAACCTTGACACATAAAAGAGGTGTTAGGAAATTATGATTTACAAGATGATTTTTAATGACATTTTGCAGTGTCTGTAAAATCCTTGGGTCATTGTCAAAGCAGAGCCATAAAACTGTTGCAGATGATTTATGAGTGTATTTCATTCTAGGCACACCTTCTCCGGAGATTCACCTTGGGTTCAAACTCGGAGAGGATCCACAAGAGCAAATGAGTACAAATAAGACGATGCCTGTTCTTAGTGAGGATGCAGTCTTGCAGGTGTGTAGCATATTGATTAATACATACTTATTAGAAATTGGAAATGCTGTTTCCAAGAGTGGCAAATTACTAAGGATTAATTATTTATGTCTGTTGTTTTGCTTATTCTTTCTTCTCTTAGTCAGTTTTTTCTCCTTTCTTAGCCATTCTGTTTCTTTGCTGCAACTTTAGTGAAAGCCAGTTGTTTTAGGAGGGGGAGGGGTTAAAATATTTCCCTTCTTCCCTGTATTTTTCTTTCTGGCAGAGATGTGTAAGCGAGAGAAATAGAAGGTTAAAATAGGGTATAATAATTACAAACAATTGCCTTAGAAGATTTGAAGAGTTAGTGAATGTATCTTGCAAAGATTTGTCATTGGATAGTAAATCAGCTGTCTGCTGTTTATGGGCTTGTTGTAAAATTAGGATAAGAAGGATAAATGAAGTACTTGATGTTTGTCCCTCTCTTTCACCTTCATGGGAATTCATTGGTAGTAAAATAGATACCTTCTTTAACACTCCCCTGCCCCACTTTGTTTTGTTAGATAATATAACCAAAGTGTTTAAACATCTGTAGCAAATTTTAATTAATATTGTTTAAAAAATTGGCACACATTGCTGTTTTCACTTTTGTGTGTGTGTGTGTTTGAAGAAGATTGGCCCTGAGCTAACATCTGTTGCCAATCTTCCTCTTTTTACTTGAGGAAGCTTGTCCCTGAGCTATCATCCATGCCAATCTTCCTCTATTTTGTATGTGGGATGCTGCCACAGCATGGCTTGATGAGCTCTGTGTAGGTCCGTGTCCAGGATCTGAACCCATGAACCCTGGGCAGCTGAAGTGGAGTGCATGAACTTAACCACTGCACTACCAAGCCAGCCCCTCACAGTCTTTACATTTATTCTGTGAAAATAATCCTTTAGAAATTTAACTGTATGAGAGGAATTGATTTTATCAAATGAAGAAATGGAGAGACCAGAAAGAGTGCTTTCCTAGAGTCATTTAAAGAAAAAACTACATTGTTTTAGAACTTAAATTTGATTTCTGAATAAATTTTTAAAAATTACTAAATAGATTTATAAATAAATTCTTCCTTAATACTCAGCTACAGTATTGATATTTCAACTTCAAAACAGACTGTTTTAGAAATGATGGACTATTTTAACTAAGGACAAACTATGAAGGAATAGAGGATCTTCGGTTTGACATACATCATGCTAGTTTAAAAAACACAGATAGCAGTCTTTTAAAATTTTCATATTCATCGTTTTTGTTGGGTCTTGCAATACCTTTCCTTGTTCTTTACATGTGCTATATGGCAAGCAGTTTTTCAACTTTCCTTAGAAAGATTTTGATTTTGTTTGGAGAGTTTAACAATATGTCTGGAAAGGTAATTGGAGACATTGGTATCTATCAAAATTAGGAGATATGATAGTTAATTTTATGTGTCAGCTTGCCTGGGCTGTGGGGTGCCCAGATAGTTGGTCAGACGTTACTCTGGGAGTTTCTCTGAGGATGTTTTTGAATGAGATTAGCATTAAATCAGTGGATTTGAGTACAGCAAAGTGCTCTCCATAATGTGAATGGACCTCATCCAGCCAGTTGAAGGCCTGGATAGAATAAAATACCAGGTTCCCTGAGCAAGAGAGAACTCTCCAGCAGACAGCCTTCAGACTGCATCTGCACCATCAGCTGTCCTGGGTCTTGAGCCTGATGGCCACACTGCAGACTTGGACTTGCTAGTTTCCATAATCACATTAGCCAGTTCCTTGTAATAAATCTCTTTGTGTTTATGTGTGTATCCTATTGGTTCCGTTTCTCAGGAGAACCCTGACTAATACAGGGGGTATCACTGGTCTTACTGTAGTCAGTGTTTGACCATCTGCAAAATACTCTTTGACAGGGAATCGTGATTATTCAGTCCTGTGGTTATTACAGTAAGCTGCTTCTTCCACTTCCTGTTCTGAAATATGGGACTCTTCATCTCAGAGTTATGAATCCAGGTTAAGTCTCACTTCTCCTTTCTGTGGCTTCCACCTTCCACCCTTATTCGTATGTAGAGGTGAAATTAGTTAAAATGAACATTGAACAGAACCTTGAAAGGGAAATGAACAATCAGAGGCTTGTTTGATGACTGTGTAATGGAAGAAGGATTGTGGTTGGCAAGGCCAGAGCTCGTGGAGAGATTGTGTATACAGTTGTATGTCGCTTAATGACAGGGATCCGTTCTGAGAAACACGTGGTTAGGCGATTTTGTCATTGTGTGAACGTCATAGAGTGTACTTACACAAACCTGGATGGTTACAGCCTACTACACAACTAGGTTGTGTGGTACTAATCTTGTGGGACCACTGTCATATACGTGGTCTGTTGTTGAGTGAAATACCATCACGTGGTGCATGATTGTATAAATACTGAAGGGTCTTTGTAAGCCCCAGTAGGTAGGTCATATTCTCTCTTACTGGCTACTTTTCTGGGACATAAACAGCTGGACCACCCAAATGCAGGGTGATTTTTCAAAACTTAGAGAACCGCTTGACTCCCTACTGTGCTGATCGCTAATGCCATTGGGACCCTTGTCCTAACTCTTTAACTCATCCTGACCTGCTTTAATTCTTCGGATCCTAGAACTGCTGTCTTTGCCCAGAGTTGCAATTGCTTAGCAATGTTTTGGGAAGGAATGGAATGGAAACAGGGCCTGGGCACCTGACTCAGCCAGAGTAAAGACAGTTCTCATTCAGTGGTTAAATCACTTTGTGTTTAAGTTGTTCTTAGATACTGGTGAAAGGAACTTAAAGTGATCATGTCAACATTTAAGAACACTGAAGCAATGTGGAGATGGTACCATATGAAACTCTCTAAAAGGCAATCATTTGGATATTTGGAAATATTAAAAAATATTTATATAGATAACCAAATTTGGGTGCCTCAGTCTGAGGGAAAGGTATTTTAAATAAATGTTACCAGTAACTCATCCAGATGATTAAAATGCTTCATACCAGGAACGTGTATTCTGCTCTGCTGACTTCAGGGTAGTTTGTGTGGGATGTCTGGTGCCTCGTGGAGAGCCAGGGCGGTCACTGGCTGGCCAGGCTTCTTCCACTCCACTCCCAGGAGTCCATGGTTTAGTTGAAGAGAATGATCTCAGATGGTAGAGGATTGTTTTTCGGTTATGGATGTATAAATAGATTTGCCTCTTTTCCTGCTTCTCCAAATTAACACATTTAATTTAAACTCTAGTCTCTTACACCCTACCCTCAACAGATAAAAGAAAACAAAACTGTAGAATTTAGTGGCCTGGTCAAAGTACAGGGGTATAGAGTCAGGAGAAAAATGGCAGTCACATATATCAAAAGGATAGATAGTAATTCAGATCCCTTAAGAAAGAATTGATTGAAGTGTATCCTTGCATTTTGTCAATTAACGAATGAGTGAACTATATCCCACACTATATTCAGAGGCGTTAGCTCTTGAGTGGTATTTCTGCCTATGGAGGAGGAAAAAAGTCAGCTCTCGGGAGCAGGCTTCCGTCTTACTTGCTTTCTTGTTTTTTGTGTTTTCCTTATGTCGGTAGAGTTAAGTGAATAATTAGCCCTCAACAGGAAAAGTTGCTGGTCCTATAGTAAGATAAATCAAGTGGGTATTACGGATTTGAATAAATTGCTTTGTGGAGACTCAGAAATATCTAGTAAGTATATAAATATACCCTGTTTAATTCTTGGGAGTTTCTAGGTTTGCTCCTTGAAATTCTTTCTTCTCTCTGGGCCTCTGAGCTTTATAAAGTCTGCTTGGGAAGTATATATATTTGGAAACAATGTGACAACCTTGAGGTATGTAAGGATGCATTATTAGTAAATAACAATGAACATTAATGGGAGAAGATTGAAGTGCTCACAGTATTTGAGTTTTCTTGTTAATATGGCTGTTTCAGTGATCAAAAAATGCTTGGGAGTTCAGGCTAATGGCTTTATTTTCAGAAAGCATTATTATTGATCATAGAAACAAACATAGAGGGCCCCCAGAGAGAGATCTTTTGCTTAAGATCTTCCTTGATGCTAACAAGATATTTAAGGCAAGGATTCCTTTTAAAGTGATGAAAGCCAGTATGCTGTAAAGTATTAAAATGAAAGCATTTTATCTTTTTTGAAAGGGACACAACAACTGCAAATTTTCTCACATGACTTGAGAATTAGGCAGAATCTGTTTAGCATTTAACAGCATAACACAGAGATTGTATAATTTCTGTCCTTTAGGGGAAATATTAGAACTCTGAACCTGGTAAGAATAGCTCATCAGAACCATTATGGATTCATGAACTCGGAGAAGGGAAAAACTAGGAATAAAAAGAAGGAACACTCCCTTTCTCTTTACTTAAGTTCCACCAGTTCTTTTATAGAAAGAGGTTAGGATAAAAAACTAAATATAAGAGCGAAAACTGTAAAACTGTTAGAAGAAAATTTAGGGGAAAAGTATCATGACTGAATTTGGCAATGACTTCTTGCATGTGAAAGCACAGGCAACTAAAGGAAAAATAGATGAGCTAGACTTCATGAAAATTAAATATCTTTGTGTATCAAAGGACACTATCAACAGAGTGAAAAGGCAACCCAAGGAATGGGAGAAAATATTTGTAAATCATATGGCTGATAAGGGATTGATATCCAGAATATATAAAGACTCTTACAACTCAACAACAAAAAACAACCTGATTAAAAAATGGGCAAAGGACATGAGTAGACATTTCACCAGCGAAGGTATACAAATGGCCACTAGACAAATGAAAAGGTGTTCAGCATCTTTAGTCATTAGGGAAATGCACATCAAAACCACAATGAGATACCACCTCACGCTCATTAGGATGGCTAGTATCAAAAAACAAAATAACAAGTGTGGGTGAGGACGTGGAAAAGTTGAAATTCTTGCTCATTGCTGATGGGAAATGTAGAATGATGTAGCCACTGTGGAAAATCATATGCTGATTCCTCAAAAAATTAAACACAGAATTACCATATGATCCAGAAATTCCACCAAAAGTAAGTGAAAGCAAGGACTTGAAAATATATTTGTACATCCACATTCATAGAAGCATTCACAATAACCAAAAGGTGGAAGCAACCCAAGTGTCCACCAGCAGATGAGCGAATAAACCAAATGTACATACATACAAGGCAATGTTATTCAGCCTTGAAAAAGAAGGAAATACTGATATATGCTACAGCATGGATGAACCTTGAAGACATTATACTAAGTGAAATAAGCCAGTCACAGAAGGGCAAATATTGTAAGATTCTTTTTATATGAGGTACTTAGAATAGTCAAATTCATAGAGACAGAAAGTAGAAGAGTGGATGCTAGCGGCTGGGAGAGGGGTGAATGGGGAGTTAGTGTTTCATGGTATGGAATTTCCATTGGGGGAGATGAAAAAGTTCCAGAGATGGGTGATGATGATGGTTTTGCATCAGTGTGAATGTATGTAATGCCACAAAACTGTACATTTAAAAATGGTTAAAACGAGGGGCCAGCCCTGTGGCCAAGTGGTTAAGTTTGTGCGCTCAGCTGCAGGCCACCCAGTGTTTCATCAGTTCGAGTCCTGGGCACGGACATGGCACCGTTCATCAGGCCATGCTGAGGCGGCATCCGACATGCCACACCTCGAGGGACCCACAGCTAAGAATATACAACTATGTACCGGGGGGCCTTGAAGAGAAAAAGGAAAAAAATAAAACCTTAAAAAAATGGTTAAAACGATAAATTTTATGTTATATATATATTTCACCACACCAAAAAAAGACACTAAGAAAGAATAACATAAGAATGATCTTAAATGTTTATCTTGTTGCATTGGATTAGCATTCTTCACTTGGGAAAAACTGCTGTTTTTCTTCCTAGAAACCTCAAGATGAAATGGAAAAAAATCGAACTCTGTTACTGTAAGTATACTAATGTTTGTCTTTGTTATATTGTAGATTTTGTCATTTTGCACATCTAAAATCAGTCTTCAGTTTCTTAAGAGTTTTAGAATCATTGTATATTTTTGAATAATTGCGTCTAGTACCATAAGTGTATGTTATTTTACAAACATTCTAGATATTTCATGAGAAAGACTGAATCAGATTAAATCAATTCTCTGTCTATGAATATTATTAAAACAGATTTATAGCATAACATAAAGGAAGAATTTTTAGAGCTATTGGAATTAGACTTTATACAACTGTTATACACTAAGAGACTTTATTCTTGCAGTTCTTTTAAAACAATAGTTCTCAAAATATGTTGTGTGGACTCCCCAGGGTGTCCCTGAGACTCTTTCTAGAAGATCTTGTGAGGTCAAAACTATTTTCCTAATACTGTAACACATTATTTGCCTATTTCACAGTACTGACATTTGCACTTAAGTGCTGAGGCGAATGGTGGGTTAAATGCTGGAGCCCCAGTAGGGGTCGGGGCAGCAGTGCCAGTGCTGGTAGTCGCTGAGTTTCCCACTGCCATGTGCCAGCAGTTGAAAAAGGGGGAAAAAGCCTCTTTCACTTAATGCATTTGATGAAGCAGAGAAGTTGTTAGTTTATTAAATCTCCACCTTGAGTACATATCTCTTTGCTTTTCTGTGTGATGAAGTAGGAAGTGTGCTTGCAGTACTTGCGTGTGTGCTGAAGTGTGAGACTTGTCTCAGGGAGAGCTCTTGTGCACTTGATTATGTTGTAAGCATTGTAGGAAAACTACCTTCACTTTTTTTAATACTTGAAAGAATAACTGACAGACAAACTGGTTATTCACACTTGGGTATATGGCAAACGTTTTCTTGAAAATGAATGAAGTAAGCCAGTCACTTCAAGGAAAACAGCTGATGGTATTTGTTGCCAATGAAAATATTCAGGCTTTCAAGTGAAAATTAGAGTTTAGGAAAACTCGTGTGTCTACCAACTTGACCTTGCTGGTTTTCTATTACTTAAAATTTTCTGGTGAGATAAGTAGTAATATTTATGAAGGTGATTTTTTGATATTGTATAAGGAAATATATCGATATAAGGAAGATCTGCATAATTCAGTGAATCAGTATTTTCTGAAAGACCGGTGCATGATGTCACAGTATCAAGCACAGGTGAAAGATCCGTTCAAAGTGCAAGCTAGCCCAATAGGTTATAATGTAACAGAATACAAAAAGTTCGTTGATTTTGTTTCAGTTTCTACATTTCCAGTAACTAAGGAAGTCATTGCTTTTAGAGTTTTGGTTGGACCTCAAAAAAGAATACCCACAATTTCCCAAAAAGGCTACTAAAATACTCTTCCTTTTTCCAACTGCGTATCTACCTGAGGCAAAGTTTTTGTTATATGCTTCAAATAAAACAACATATGGCAAAAGACTGAGTGCGGCAGCAGACATGAGATGACAGCTGTCTTCTATTAAACCATACATTAAAGAAATTGTTTTTAAAGTATGAAACAATGCCACTTTTCTCACTAATTTTTTTTCATTTTGGAAAATGTAATAATTTTTCATAAAAATATGTTAACATGTTACTGAATTATTACTGTTCTTTGAAAATTAATGATTATTTTAAAAGTTTTCTCCATTTTAAATTTCTACTATGTAAATATAAATAAATATAAGCCACATAAACAAAATCTCTTTGGGTTCCTCAGTAATTTTTAAGAGTTTAGGGGTCTAAAGATCAAAAAGTTTGATAACCACTATTTTAAAATAACCCTTTTGCTGATTATATCAGCAATATAAGTTCATCTACAGAAATGGAAAAAAGAGAAGACTAAAGAAGACTAACGTAGCATCCATAATCTCCCTGGTCAGAGAGAACTATTGTCAACATTTTGGTACATATTACTGTAGGCTTTCTATAGATATTTTTTTCATGTTTTCTACAAAATTGGAATCATTCAACAGATAGTTTTTTATCCTGTTTTTAAATTCTGAGTAATAGTTTATCATAATTATTTTCTCATGTCATTAATATTTGTCAAAAATATGAATTTTAATGGCCTCATAATATTTCACTCTATAACTTTACTGTAATTCATTTAATCATTTGTCTACTTTTGGACATTTACATGGTTTGTAGTCTTGCCTAATATAAATAACTATTTTTTGATAATTTGGATGAAAGTTTGCTCTAGTTTCAGGCTTAAGTTTTAAGTAGTCTTTTGTAATTAAGGAAAAAAATTCTGTTGGCTCAAACTATGAATTTATTTTGTTTTAAATCAGCATGTTCTTCTTAGAGAATCAAGTTTTAGGGGAAAAAACTCAGTATTCTTTTCCATTTGCCTCATAGAAATTATTCTATATAAAGTTTCATTTCCATTTTCAAGATAGCTTATATTGTTCACTTCTATTAGACAGGTGAGAATGTTCAATTTATTATTCTTGCTTAGGATTCAAGTAGCTGTGCCTGGTCTATAAAAACTGCTCTTAAACAGCTGAAACGAGAGGTTTGTTTTTTTTTTTTTGGAGGAAGATATCTTGATTGCATTTGTACATAAATTAGATTGACCAAAAAAAGGGTAGTTAACTGATTGCTTTTCTTTCAGTCAATTTTTAATTATCCCAGGATAGATGATCAAAATTGCAGATTAGGCATGACCCTTATTTTGCTTTCAAACTCTTCCCTTCAATATTTCCTACCTTTTTTTAACCTGCTGTGAACTACAAGAATGATAAAATAGTGTCAGAGAATTTTCTGATTGGTAACTTTCACTTGCATCTAAAACTGTGACAGACTTTCAGTGTATTTGAGGATTCAGAGACCCATTTTTCTATATCCTCAGGATTGATGTCTGGGTACTTGTCATTTTCTCTCTGGTCTGGAGATCTAATACAGTGTTTGATATTGCTAGAGGCAGTAGCTCTGTTCTTACGCATCCTGATATTGTTTGGTTGCAGTTGCCGCCTCTTGCCACTGGGTGGGGGCAAGACTGCATATTCTGAACCCTCTTCCTTCAGCCAAAATCCCAGGGGCTGGCCGGGCGTTGGGCAGGTGGGAGGAGGAGTGCTTTCTCCTGCATGCTCTCGGGGCTTTCTCACTCTGCTCTCTTGGGGTCTTGGCTTGATAAGGTCACTCCCTGGCAAAGCTTTCACCCCAGTAGAAGGCTTCTCTCTGGGCTGCAAGGGCCCTTGGGAGTCCTTGAAGTTCCTCTGAACAAACGTCCCCTGCCCTGTTCCTTCCCTCTTGGAGGCCTCCTGCAGTCCTGATGGCAGTCTTTGGGGAAGGGAGCAAAGATTCCTCTTACCCTGTTCCACCTCCTCCAAGGGGGCTCCAGCCTCTCCACCCTCTGTCTTGTGGCTGCGTGGGTCTCTCCGATGTGTTTTGTGCTGTGTTTGGATGTCCTCTGTTGGAGTGTGGATGTTTCTTCGTTGTATGTTGGAGGGGAAGATTTCTGCGAGACCTCACTCTGCCGTGATGCTGACGTCGCTCCTTAAGACCCGTTTTTCTCCCTGACCCGACCACCCCTGTTGGGCAGTCATCTCCACAGTTACTTTCAGATCGAAATGTAGTTTAGCTTTTTTATACTCCTGAAGTTCACCCATTAATTTTTCAGCACTCTCCTTCATTTTTGCAACCACTTGAAATGTAAATGTTAACAAGTTGGTAGTAATTGTCAAAGTAATTGGAATAATGTAGCAAAAAAATTGTCCTATTTTGAAATTCCTTTAAATGAAAACAAAATTTTAAGTTGTATTTGAATGAGAAATACTGTATTTTTCTTTCCATTTTAAAATTTATATTAATTAATTAATTAATTGACTGATTTTTTAGGGCTAGCAAAGGTTGTCCAATGTTCCCTGTGTCATTTCCCAACGCTGAACTTTCACTGAAGCACCAAAACATTCAAGGTATGTTTTCATGGGGAGAGTTACATGAAGTAAATTTGTCTTTTCCTAAAATAGAAGGCTTAGTTAGATATGGATTTATTTATGACTGGGCTGGTCTACTATAAACTGCTCCATACATTTTTACATAGGAAATCAGTGTTTTTGTTCACCTTGGATCATGCTGCATAAAGTTGCCCATATGAGAAGCAGCTCTGGTGCAATCAATACCTACTACTCAAGTGTCTACTCTTTTTTTGTTGTTGTTGAGGAGGATTGGCCCTGAACAAACATCTGTTGCCAGTCTTCCTCTTTTTGCTTGAGGAAGATTGTTGCTGAGCTAACATCTTTGCCAGCCTTCTTCTATTTTGTCTGTTGGACACTGCCACAGCCTGACTTAATGAGCGATATGTAGGTCTGTGCCGGGGATCCGAACCTGCAAATCCTGGGCTGCCAAAGCAGAGAACACGAGCTTAACCACTATGCCCCTGGGTCAGCCGCCAAGTGTCTACTCTTTTGACTTGTAATTTGGGGCTCAAATTTGAAAATGATGTTTGTTTTCTCCGTTCATAGCATTTTTAATAAGTATGTCATGCGTTTGTTGACTGAGTCACACAGCCATTGACCTTGGTTTCAGCTGTATTAGAGGATGGCTGTCTTTCTCTTGTGGTGTCTCCCAGTGACAGTGTAGTAAATATTCTCAGTGGTCAGTGAAACCTTCTATTATAAGAAAAGGACACAAGGCCATGATACCTGAAATTGAAAAAGTTAAGTTTTAAAAAGTTCTGTCTTTTCCTGCTCGTTGCTACTACAACAATAACATTAGCATTTATACCTATCACCAACACTTGCATGCACTCTTAGTGCTGAGATTTTGGTCTGTAATATTATTTGCCCATTATTTTAACAAATATTTATCGAGCCTACTATTTGCCAGGTTGTATAGGTGCTGTGGGTGTACAAATGCTGAATAGACCAGAATCCTTGGAGGAGAGCTGATCTGTCTTGGAGCGTGAAGGTGGAAGGATGGGTCTGAAACATCCTACCATTGTTGGAAAGCAAAGATGCCTTCAGGGATGTCTGGGGGCAGTGCTGAAAGGATAAAGAGCTGGGTCAGTGGTGCTCCCACTAGCCAAGCTGTGACAAATTAAGCGAGGAAAAAATAACAATAATTTTAGTTAATAGAAGTAAGTTGTTTGTGAAAAAACCATGAGTTCATAATAATGCTCAAAAAATAGTAATAGTGTATAAAAGGTAATCTCAATACAAAAGTGACTATAGTAGACTGTTTAAAAACGTTTAATGACTTTAAGAACTAGAAACCTGTTAATACATGTGCATTTTGTTTTCTCTATTAAATGTATATCTGTTTATAAAACATGGGATATTTTTGTTTATCACTGTGTAAGTAGAGAAGAAAGAAGACAGAGCTGTGAGTAAGTCACGTAGTCCTGGAATAAGAATTGTAGCAAGGAAAGGAAAGCCCATAGAGCACCAGCAGTCGCACGTGAAAACAGGTCAGAAGTGGAGTCTAACCATGTCCCAAGATGACAAGTTAACCTGATACCCAATTCAGAAGACTTTTCTGCACGGATTAGATCCCTCATCTCTTAGGAAATTAAAGCCTTACTATTATGATAAAGCTAATTATGATAAGATTAAAATAGCAGGCATAAGTTTGCAATAATGCTAACAGAACAGGTCAGTATATAAATAATAATGACAGGACAAAAGCTTTTGTAACACTGGCCAAGTAAAAGTTAAAGACAGCATTCTGGGGCAAAACATCAAGTTACAAAAAATGACCGTTGTGAAGTTTAATGTATTTACTTATTATAAGTAAAGCCAGATAATTGGATGCTCAGATTTGAATCATCTTGGGAGAAACAGTCAGTCCCGTGCCCCCCAAAATAATCAGTTAGTCAGTAATCCAGATTCTGTCACCTTGGCCGGTCCAGGAAGTTGCTTGTTTTCTTTTGGGTCTGATACAGTTTCTGTAACCCTGGGAAGGTACCAAAATAAATATTACTTTAATCTTAGGAAGGTATAGGAACAAATATAGAAATAATGTAGAACAAATTACGCCAGTGTATTATTATTTTAGAATTAGGTTAAGAGAAGTAATAAGTTTTATAACCATTGTATTCATGTGTGTTTTGTCTGATAGTTCATATGTTAGAAATGTAAAAGATTAGTAATGTTAAATTTATAGTTTAATTTGTGTAAGGGAATTTGTTTGTAATTAATGTTTAAATGTTAAAGAAACAGTAGTTTTCACATGGTAGATATAGAAGTTTAATACATTGACTGTTAAACAAATACAAGTAAAAACAGTAATTGATGTTTCCCTCCAAGTATAAAAGACTTTGTGATTTTTAAGGTGTTGAATCAATAGCAAATGGCCCAATATTATAATTCAGATTATGCCGAACATACCCTGCAAATGTGATGCAAACCTGTTTAGCACCATTTACATGATACAGTTATAAATAGACTGAAACAGTCATAAAGCAGTAGAGGTATCATCTTAGAGGTGGAAGGCCTTTTTTTGTAAGTATGTCTTGAACAATTTGAGAGAGAGGTGTCATGGGTGATAGCATGCCTTGGGCATTCCTTTTTCTCCTTCAGGTTTTGACCATGATAACCAGGGTCAGCAATGGTTAGACAAAAGATCCATTCTCATTTTCCTCATACTCAATCCCAGTATTTATAGAAAAACAGAGTTCCACATTTCCTGCATTTCCCACACTTCCAGCCTCCCACTTGTTGGCCTTCTGAGAGCCGTTAATGCCTTATGATGCTGTTGGTATCTGTGCACTCTTGCCACCACCCTCCCTGAACTTCTGAGAGCCATTAATGCCTTATGATGCTATGGGTATCTACACACCCTTGCCACCACCCTCCTTGAACTTAGAGCCATTAATGCCTTATGATGCTATGGGTATCTGTGCACTCTTGCCACCACCCTCCCTGAACTTCTGAGTCATGAGTCTTTGACTGGTTGTTTCTTTCACAGTGCCATGGGCACCAGGATTATGCTTGTGGTGGTTCTTGCTGCTGTGAAGCTGCTGTGACAAGAGACCATAGAGCTGGTAGTTCCCCTCCCTTCTGGCACTGCATCGCAGCTCCCTCTTGCCTTTGCTCCTTTCAGAGTGTTCAGAACAGGAAGCTCCTTTATTATCCTCCTGGACTATAGGTCAAATCCCACATAAGGAAACTGTTAAATTGTTAGCTAGGATAGCTGGCTCTGTTCTGATACAATCCTGTCTTCTCCCTCCTGGTTCAAAGAGCAGTTCTGACCGAACTGTAGGATGGTCAAAATAAGCAAACTATCTTTAGCAGATATGATAGCATTGGCCTTAAAATAGTCTGTTTAAAAGTTAAAATTCAGCTCCTCTGAGCATTTTCTTTTCATTTGGCATTTTAGAATTACTCCTCATACATGCCATTACGTTTATGTCTTGCAAGTGATAAGTAGAAAGGGTACAGAATTTTTCATAATTTATTAAAGGATAGACAAGAATTCAAGAAAAAAAATTTTTGTTTGTAAAAACTGTTTTAAGTAAATTTTGCAGCTAGAAAATGAAAATTCCTTCTCAGTGTGTTTATTTTTAATATAATAATCATTACTATATAATATATTTCATTATATTAATTTATCAAGTTTTAAAAATAGTAACTGTTGGCATAAAAGAGTGATCATTTTGGTGAAGAGGTGGGTTAAAAACAATCTAGAAGAAGATGTCTTGGAGGGTTCTTTCTTGACATCTCAGAGAAAGAGGAAAAGGATGAAATCTTTTTCTCTGCATTTTAGCTCTCCCAGTAAATGAAAAAAAATCTCCTTGCAAAGGTAATTGAAGATATATCTATTGCTTAAAAATGTTTTTTGGGGGGGCTGGCCTGGTGGCATAGTGGTTGAGTTTGCATGCGCCTCTTCAGCAGCCCAGGGTTCATGGGCTCATATCATGGGTGTGGACCTCTGTACTGCTTGTCAAGCCATGCTGTGGCGGCATCCCACATGCAAAAATGGAGGAAGAGTGCTACAAATGTTAGCTGAGTGACAATTTTTCTCAAGCCAAAAGAGAAAGATTGGTAACAGATGTTAGCTGAAGGCCAATCTTCCTCACCAAAAAAGAAAGAAAAATGTTTCTTTCATTGGTATTAAATGTTAAGCAACCAGCGATGTAAAATTTTAAGTAACAAGATATAGATAGTGTAATAAATCATCATGGCTTGGCAAAAAGGAGTATTATGCAAGGATAAGAAATTATTTATTCTTATGACTTTTTACTCATCCTCCTGTAAGGGAGTAGAATGCCATGATATTAACTCTTCTACCTGATTTTCATAGCTTTTCATCATCAAATGGCAAAGGTGAAGTGAAAAAAAAAAAAAACAGTCGACTTTTGCAGGATGTAAAGCTCAGCAAGCATATTTATGCTTACTTTTTCCCCCTGAAAAACCTGTCTTGCTTGTGAGGATGCATTCTGAGGTTGGCAGATAATTACTTGCGTATAGACTAACTCTAGATATTGCCTAATCAAAAGAAACCGAAAGAATGACTCAAACATATGCTTGAAATACCAGTGAGCCCTGAATTCCTAGCTAGGTCGGCAGAGTGCCTGGGCCTTGGTGGTGAAGGTGGGAGGCAAGAGGAGCGAGTGGGGGAAATATCTTTTTCCTGATCCTCCTTCAGCTGCATGTGGTGTGAATTGCTGTCAGCCAGCTCACCCCAGAGGGGGCAGGGCGAGGAGTGGGTGCTGAGGGTGAAGTCACATTTAGGACAGTCTGGTTCCTTTTGGCCCTAGGTGGGGTGTTCCTTTTCACACCTAACTCGACAGCATGGGTTCATTTAAATCCTGTTTCCTGTAGTGGAGAACGCAATGATGCTGAGGAAGTAGATATGATTTTTCCTCGTGTAGTTACAAATACTTAGAAGAACTCAGCCAAAATAGGGAGGTTGGTTTTAGCTAAATTAATTCCAAATAATTATAATTTTACCTAGCTTCATGTAAAATATTTTTTAAGAAATGGAAGAATTTTCTTTTATAACTTTATTGCCAACACAATACTTTTATATCAATAAATTGGTGTAATACTTATACAATATTTGATATGTCACATGAATATCTGAGGGAGTCATTTCAAGTTATGTAATTAAGAAATGCTGAGTAAAAGGGTATGTTTTTAGTGCGTTAATAAACTGGAATGAAAACATATGTTGTTATCTTCTAGGGCCTGAGGCTGAAAATCCGGAAGTTTTGCCACATCCAGAAAAGGTTGGTCTGTAAAACAAAGATTAGTTATACGGATCATAGGTTTAGGTTTTTAAAAAAATTATGTTGATTAAAGTATCAAGCTCATGTAGGTTCTTCCCCTAGGCAGGAGTGTGACTAAGCCATTTCAATGGACAGAAATCTATTCTTGCCTAACATCCTCTTCCAGTGTTTATTCTTCCTTATTTCTAGTGAAATAGTATTCTCTTGATCTGTGTTTTCTATCCAGCATTGTAAGTCCCTTATTCTTTATCTAGAGAAGAATCATATGACTTAATTATCAGACTAATTGCTGAGATGATGTAGCAAAAATGCCTTCTGTTGGTTTGTCTGTTACCCTGGTTCCTTTAATATTTCCTGCTAAATACTGCTTTCCCGTCCTCCAGTTCCTAATCAGTAACCATGTAGTGAGTGCTTGCTTTGCTTTGCTTTCTCCTTGGTGGTGTGGGGAATCAAGAGGACTGTGAGCCTGGCTCTGCCCGCAGCCGACTCGAGCAATCAAGGACCTCCCAGGCTACCCCTACCATATCTGTACCTTACTTCATCTCAACTGCACGTTGCACATTCCTGCCTCCATGCCTTTGGTCAAGTCAGGAACCAGAAGGCAAGGGAAAGAGCATAAAATTTGGAACCAGATAGGTGTGCGTTCCATGGGTGTGTGTCATTTACATGTGCAAAATAGCGATAGTGACATCCGTTTCCCAGGGTTATTGTGATGACTGAGAGCAACGATAGTTCACGGTGTCTGGCACCTAGTCACTGCCTAATAAATACGTGTTCTCCCTTCTTTCATTCCTTCACAAATCTCTAATTTCTGGCTCGAGTTCCTTCTCTTTTGTGGTCTGTCTCAGATGACTCTGGTGGTCTTGACCAAAGTAGTTGCTCCCTCTTTAGCATTCATTCTTCTCTGACTATATCAGTATTTCCCAATCACTTACATCCTATGATGTTAAGAGTTCTTCTAAGAAAAAGGATTTGTTTTGAACAAAGAAGTTTGGAGAACACTGTGTTCTAAAGTCTCCTCAGAGACTTGTAATGCACATGCTCCAAAAAGCTTTGTGGTAAAGAAACCTGTTTAACTTTGTTTAACCAACATTTTTCAAGCAATCATGAAGACTCTCCACTGCCTCCCTTTTTTTTCCCACCAGAAAACTTACTCATGTATCGCAGTAGGCTCTATGGTTTATGCCATGGGTTTGAGTTCATGCAGTGTTTTTGACATTATTTATACTTTATTTAGTGTCGTATGTATTTTTGCCGTCAATCTTCAGTTAGAAATTAAGTTCCTTTAGGGCAGAGACCAATATAGATAGTTGATTGACTCTAGGGCCTTGAATTTAATAGATATGAGGACTTCAAAGAGGAGGAAGACCTTGATCTGCGACTGGAAGGCTGGAGAGGGTCTGGTGCTTGAATTCCTTCTGAATTCCTTTTATCTTTCTGAGCGAATTATAGTTTGCATTACTAATAAATAAATAACTCTTCTTAAGCTCCGTGTTCTGTGTACAGAGAAGACAGATAGTGGCAGATAGGAAAGGAGGAGAGAGAGAATAAAAGGAGTTTCGCTTCTCGAATCCAAATTAAGTGAGAATATTAGAGGCTTACAAATGACAGTGTATCCTGTCAGAGTAGTGTCAGTGGAAGGTGAATTTAATTTTTAGAAACAGCCAAAAGTTATTGAAACCCATTCTGTTATTTAAGATCAAGCACATTAACAGGTTTTTTTGTTTGTTTGTCTTTTGTGATTTTTTGTGAGGAAGATTGGCCCTGAGCTAACATCTGTTGCCAGTCTTCCTCCATTTTGTGTGTGGGACGCCTGCCACAGCGTGACTTGATGAGTGGTGTGCATGTCCTTGCCAGGGATCCGATCCCATGAACCCTGGGCCACTGAAGCGGAGCACGCAAACTTAACCACTGTGCCACTGGGCCAGCCCCAAATGAACAGTTTTTAATGTGGAAAGAAATACAGTGCCTTTAACTTGTCGAGACTTATTTTCTTGAATGGCTTATAAATGGATTTAGAAGCAGTTTCAAAAGAAGTCTAATAATGTTTTGAACATTGGAAACATTGTGAGAATTGGTATAACCTATTAAGGTGATGTCTTTGAAAAATAATAGTCGTTTAGAAATATAACTTTTGTGTTTTTTGTTTAAAACAACCACAACTCAGAACCATTAATTTATAGCCAGAGTTCATAATATTTACATAGAAGTGTGTCCTCATTTCTCCTCTTTTTCTCTCTGACCTCCTGTCCTTTGGCCTTTTTACTTCACATTTGTATATTTATACAGAGGTTGGGAGTAAAAAAGATTGAACTAACCAATTTTATTCCTGTTTAATAATTTTTATAGAATTCAGTAGAGATTTTTGGCAATGAAGAATTTTACAACCATTAACTGCAGTGAAGTTTTGAGATCATCTGTTAATTTAACTACCTGTGTCATCTCTGCCTCTTCCCTTAGTGCAAATAATTTAACCTTAGCTGAACAGATAACGTGCCGTATGTAATTATAGTCCAACCCATTTTACCCTTGATCCACTCTTAAATGTTTACCCATGTGTTCAGAGTCATTAGTGATTTGGTATAGGAAAATAGTAAAGAGTATTTTTGTTTATGGACTGGGAGGAAAGTTGATAAAACTTTTTGGCAGTAACTTACCAACAGGATAAACTAGAAAACTGTAAAGTCTTTTTAAACAATTTTTTCTTTTATGTTGTAATGATGAAATTTCTGCTTGGAATACACAGGAACTAAGTGCAGACAGAGACTCTCCTGAAATTAGCCTTCTCTCAGACACTGCTGTTAAAGTATCTGATACGGTTACTATAAAGGAGAAATCGTTACTAAAACCAGAGAAGATCTTAGCAGCACCAAATACATTTTCTGAGCCTGGAAAAGAGGTCACGTTGACCATGACTTCCGAAGATACCAAAGATGAAGAAAGCTCTCTTGAAACTTTTGTGTCTGCCTTGGAAAAGTTACTGACATCACCAGAAGTCACCCAGGAGGAAAGATTGTTTGAAATAAGTGATCTTGAACCTAGAGAGTTGATGAACCCATTGAGCAACTCCTCAAGTTCCATGTCAGTCCCTTTGACATGTCACAGAGACTTACTAGAAAACACAAAGGATGATGCCTTGCCACCGGAGTTGTTAGCAGCCCTAAACACATTGTCAGAAACCAAGGTGGGACCCATCTGTCACAGAGAGGAGGGAGACAGCAGTCTCAGTGCTGGAATTCAGTGTTTAGGCATGGAACCCAATATGTCTCAGACTGATGAAGATTGTACACAAATAGCAGAGGGGAATTTTGAGTCTGTTTGTTCTACTGCACCTTTTGAACAAGATTCCAAGTTAGCTGAGCCAGAGGACAAGCGTCTTTCAGTGCAGCAAGTACGTCCAAGTGTGAGTCTGATTTTGCCTTTTATAGTGACCTTTAACAAGTCTTTGTTCCCCATATACTTTCTTTTAAATTCAAGCCTTATACACAAACACTCAGAAGATACTTTTTGACTTTGAAGCATACAATGATTATTTTTTAGAGGTTCCTAGGGTAGAGTTTTCAAAGGGTTAAAAAGTTAAAATAGATAAGTTTCTCCTCAGAAGACCTGAGAAGATATATCATTAGATTGCCTGTATACAGGAAGGAAAGAATTCTTTACAAGAATTTTTCTTGTTAGCTCAGAAAATCACTATGTCTACCTGGGTGCGACTGGAGATGAAATATCCCACGTTAATTTCCAGTTGAGCATAGAATATATGCCGTTGGGCTGCCGGGAGAGGGAAAGAATCATGCCTGGCTTCAGCAGAACTTTGCATTCTGTGTCTGAGGCTACTGTCGGGTGGCATAGTTCCTGGCTTTCGAATGCCTGGAGACCCTGCACTGGCTTCCTGCTTGCCAAGTTCCTTTTTCACGTTGATCATTTTTTTTTTACTTATAAAAATAGTCTTTATTTTTTCCCCATTACAATAGTAATGTATCCTCATTTTTAAAAAATTCAAACATTGTAGCAATACAGTTTAATACAGTAAGAAAAAGTCCTGCACAACTCCACTTTTCAGCGATAATCACTGTTAACAGTTTGTTATATCTGTCTCCAGTTTTTTCTATGCATATTCTATGTAAGTTTATTTTGTATAAATGGGATTATATTATACATAGTGCTTCGCAACTTGTTTTTTAAATTTAATAATACATCTTGGTTATCTTTCTGTGTCAGCAAATGTAGCACTACTTAAATCTTTTTACTTGCTGAGTGGTATTCCACTTGTATGGATATATTGTATGTTTCTGTACACAAATATATATATATATATAAAATATAACTTGTTTGACCAATTCACTAATGATGGTCATTTGAATTGTTTTCTTTCTTTCTCTTTTTTCTGTTGGCTATTACCAAAGTGTTCCTGTGAACATCCTGGGAAAGGTTTAAATAACATGATTCTAAACTCGTACACACCTGGAATAATACTGCATGTGATTCTGGTCCAAAAAAATCTCAAAACAAAATCTCAAAACGGACATAAGAGGACTAAAAAATATAGCCACAAAAAGAGAAATGCATCATGGGGCTAGGGCATGAAGATTAAATTAAAATCCCAGTATCTACTCTGAAAAGAGGTAGAATAGTGAAGTGTAGGGAATTGTGATTGGTATTGATGGAGTGAGCGTGAACTTAGCACGCCTTCCAAAGGAAAAAAGAAACCCTTTTGAAAGTAGAAAGTTGATTAATTTAGAACAAATTAAATTAAGTACTCTTTTACTCAGCTGTAATAAAAATATGGAGCTTGTTACCTTGAGAAGCTTTGCAAGCTAGAAATAGAAATAAGCTCGAAAGGTTTACATGATTTGTATAAAAAATATATATCCTCATGGAAGTTAAATCTATAATGGATTGTTAAAGGGAAGTTAGAACCATTCGTGATATACTGTTAACCTTTTAAAATCAGGGGCTGGCCCCGTGGCTGAGTGGTTGGGTTCGCGCGCTCCGCTGCAGGCCGCCCAGGATTTCATTGGTTCGAATCCTGGGCGCGGACATGGCACTGCTCATCAAGCCACGCTGAGGCAGCGTCCCACATGCCACGGCTAGAGGGACCCACAAAGAAGAATATACAACTATGTACTGGGGGGCTTTGGGGAGAAAAAGGAAAAAATAAAATCTTTAGAATCAATGTAATGGAGGTTATAACTATCTTGTCCCACAAAATATCACTAACTGCCGCAGTCATGTAACAAAATACTAGGCTGAATAGAACATTCATCTGGCCTAGTATGGCATTTATGCTGTTTTTATATGTCTCTCATTATTCTGTGCCACCCATTTCCTGTGGAATTAAAGCACCCAGAGGGACCTTAGTTTTGCCCTTGAATTTTAAGGATGAATATTGGTAAAAGTAATTTTTACTTATGCTGTTCTTGTCTTAGGCTTTCAAATCTGTATTGTCCTTTATTGATTATTATAGAACTTCTCATTATGTTCACATATCCATGAGTTTTTGTACTTTCATCAGAGGCATTTTCATGTAATCAAAGGACAAGATAAAACCTAATTCCTTCTAGTTTTAATTGTCTTTTTGCATTGATGTAATTATTTGTATATATTTATGTCTTATTACAGACTATAGAAGACCCAGATCCATTTGCATTGGAAACTTTGGCTCATCAAAATGTCACCTCTTGTGATCCACTAAATAATAAAGGAAATTCAAATCCAGTGGAAAATAGCCCTGACCAGGACTCTCCATGTGTGTTGAGGAGATCGTCCAGACTAAAAGTGGGCAGAGATGGTGCAAAGTGCACAGATGGCATGTCTAAGATGCCAGAATGGATTTTACCAAAAATACTTGGCTCTGAGGATCAAACAAATAATAACTCTTCAACTGAGAATTTCAGGTATGCTACCAACTTGTATCTTGCTCTCCAGGTATGCTATAGCCCTTATAGAAAATTCGGTGCTTGGGACATTAGAGTCAGGGTACAGTTTCCTGTAAGTAAAGAGTTTTATTTTTCAGAGTTGTGCTTAATTTACCTTGCAATTGTTGTTTTTATTTAACCTAGAAAACTCTTACTTTATTTTTTTTAAGACAAAGTAATAAGAGATTTGTTGTCTTTTAGCCTAATGCTAATTTTCTTCTTTTTTTAAAAATGTTTCGTTAACATCTATCACTGTACCTGGTTGTACATTTTTTTTCTTGTGATGAGAACTTTTAAGATCTACTCTCTTAACAACTTTCAAATATACAAGTATCAGTCACTATAGTCACCATGGTGTACATTATATCTCCATTATTTAAATTACTTTATGATTGGAAGTTTGTACCCTTAGACCCCCTTCACCCCTTTCACTACTTCTCAGCCCCCTCTATTATCTATGAGTTTGGGTTTATTTATTTACATTCCACATATAAGTGAGATCATGCAGTATTTGTCTTTCTCTGACTTATTTCACTCAGCATAATGCTCTCAAGGTCTATCTGTGTTGTCGCAAATGGCAGGATTTCTGTCTTTTCTATGGCTGAATAATATTCCATTGTACATGTATACTCCACATTTTCTTTATCTGTTCATCCATTGATGGACACTTAGGCTGCTTGCCTGTCTTGGTTATTGTGAATAATGCTGCAGTGAGCGTGGCGTGCAGATATCTCTTCGGGATAGTGATTTCGTTTCCTTCAGATAAATACCCAGAAGTGGAATTGCTGGATCATATGATAGTTCTATTTTTAATTTTTTGAGGACCCTCCATGCTGTCTCTATATTTAAAGCTGCCATGCTGCTTGACAGCAGCTCGGTAAAATAACTTTGAGTTTTAAAATTTAGTCAAAATTTGGTATGATTTTCTGTGAATGGTTGTAAAGAACATGGTAGTAATTTTAAAAACACATTTATTTTTCAAGAATGCAGAAGCCTGCTTTAATGATTGAAGGTAAAAGGAAGAATATGCATTCATCCAGACTCAAGAGTAGAGAACAGATCAGGAAAAACAAAAAACTTGCAGGAAAAAAAGGTGAGGCATATTTTATTGCTTTCTTTCTTTTCTTTTTTTTTTTTTCCAGTGTCTCTAAATAAAAGTTTTATTGGAGCACAACTGTATCATGTTTTCTTGATTTTAGCATTCCAAAGAGTTGGGTGGTTGTGACAGAGACTGTATCACCTGCAAAATGGAAAATATTTGCTATCTGCCCCTTCCTCGGAAAAGTTTGCTGACCCCTGCATTATACCATTGATTCTTGAAGCTGAGCATGCATCAAGATCTCCTGGAGGATGTGTTAACATGCAGATTCCTGGGCCCCCCGTCCAGAGTTTCTGATCCAGAAGGATCAGAATGTCTAACAGGTTCACAGGAGATGCTGATGCTGCTGGTCCAGGGACCCCACTTTGAGAACCACTGCATCACGTGGACAAACCATAAATGATTTAGCTGACCCCCCTTTTTTAAATTTAAAAAATATTTATTAATTAAAAATAAAATTTTAAAGTAATATATTTCTTAATAATATGAAAAGGATTTTGTTTAGATTAGATTATGTAGTTTTAAATAAATGTCATATTGTTAGAATGAAGCAGGATTCAGCATTAATTCTATTTCTTTTTTTTCCTGAATTTTTTTTTTATTGAGGTCATAATTGTTTATAACATTGTGAAATTTCAGTTGTACACTATTGTCAGACACCAGATAAATGTGCCCCTTCACCCCTTGTGGTCCCCCCCCCGCCCTCCCCCTGGTAACCACTAAACTGTTCTCTTTGTCAGTAAGTTTGTTAATATTCCACAAATAAGTGAAATCATATGGTGTTTGTCTTTCTCTGTCTTGCTTATTTCACTTAACATAATACCCTCAAGGTCCATCCATATGGTTTTGACTGGGGAGATTTTGTCTTTTTTTATGGCTGAGTAATATTCCATTGTGCGTATATATACCACATCTTCTTTATCTAATCATCAGTCGATGGGCACTTGGGTTGCTTCCACATCTTGGCTATTGTGAATAATGCTGCAATTGATATAGGGGTGCATAAGTCTCTTTGTATTGTTGATTTCAAGTTCTTTGGATATATACCCAGTAGTGGGATAGCTGGGTCATATGGTATTTATATTTTTAATTTTTTGAGAAATCTACATACTGTTTTCTGTAGTGGCTGCACCAGTTTGCATTCCCACCAGCAGTGGATGAGGGTTCCCTGTTCTCCACAACCTCTCCAACATTTGTTATTTTTTGTCTTGCTCGTTATAGCCATTCTAATGGGTGTAAGGTGATATCTAAGTGTAGTTTTGATTTGCATTTTCCTCATGATTAGTGATGATGAGCATCTTTTCATGTGCCTATTGGCTATCTGTGTATCTTCTTTGGAAAAATGTCTGTTCATGTATACCTCTGCCCATTTTTTGATTGGGTTGTTTGTCTTCTTGTAGTTCGGTTGTATGAGTTCTTTATATGTTATGGAGATTAACCTCTTGTTGGATATATGATTTGCAAATATTTTCTCCCAGTTGGTGGTTTGTTTTTTTGTTTTGATCCTGGTTTCCTTTGTCTTTCAGAAGCTCTTTCATCTGATGAACTCCCACTTGTTTATTTTTTCTTTTGTTTCCCTTGTCCAAGTAGACATGGTATTCGAAAAGATGTTTTTAAGGCTGATCTCACAGAGTATACTGCCTATATTTTCTTCCAGAAGTTTTGGGGCCAGCCCAGTGGCACAGCAGTTAAGGTAGCACATTCTGCTTCGGCGGCCTGGGGTTCGCTGCTTCAGATCCCAGGTGTGGACCTATGCACCACTTATCAAGCCATGCTGTGGCAGGCGTTCCACATATAAAGTAGAGGAAAATGGGCATGAGTGTTACCTCAGGGCCAGTCTTCCTCAGCAAAAAAGAGGAGGATTGGTGGCAGATGTTAGCTCAGGGCTAATCTTCCTCAAAAATAAGTAGTTCTATGGTTTCAGGTCTTACCTTCAAGTCTTTGGTCCATTTTGAGTCTATTTTTGTGTATGGATAAAGATAGTGGTCTACTTTCATTCTTTTGCATGTGGCTGTCCAATTTTCCCAGCACCATTTATTGAAGAGGGATTCCTTTCTCCACTTTCTGTTCTTGGCTCCTCTGTTGATTAGCTGTCCATAGATGTGTGGTTTTATTTCGGGGCTTTCCATTCTGTTCCATTGATCTGTATGCCTGCTTTTGTACTGGTACCATGCGGTTTTGATTAGTATAGCTTTGTTTTGCACTATATTTTGAAGTCAGGGATTGTGACGCCACCAGCTTTGTTCTCGTTTCTCAGGATTGCTTTAGCAATTCACGGTATTTTGTTGCCCCATATGAATTTTAAGACTCTTTGTTCTGTTTCTGTGAAGAATGTCACTGGGATTCTGATTGGGATTGCTTTGAATCTGTAGATATCTTTAAGTAGTATGGACATTTTAACTATGTTTATTCTTCCAATCTATGTGCATGGAGTATCTTTCCATTTCTTTATGGCATTATCAATTTTTTGCAGTAACGTCTTATAGGTTTCCTTGTATGGGTCTTTCACCTCCTTGGTTACATTTATTCCTAGGTATTTTATTCTTTTTGTCGTGATTGTAAATGAGATCATATTCTTGAGTTCTCGTTCTGTTAGTTCATTATTGCATTGTAGAAATGCCACTGATTTCTTAACTGGACTTTGTACCCTGCAACTTTGCTGTAGTTTTTGATTATTTCTAATAGTTTTCCAGTGGATTCTTCAGGGTTTTCTATATATACAATCATGTCGTCTGCAAACTGTGAGAGTTTCACTTTTTCCTTTTCAATTTGGATACCTTTTATTTCTTTTTCTTGCCTAATTGCTCTGGCTAAAATCTCTAGTACTATGTTGAATAAGAGTGGTGAGAGTGGGCACCCTTATCTTGTTCCTGTTCTTAGAGGGATGGCTTTCAGTTCTTGCCCAGAGTATGATGTTGGCTGTGGGTTTGTCATATGTGACCTTTATCATGTTGAGGTACTTTCCTTTTATACTTATTTTATTGAGAGTTTTTATCATAAATGGATGTTGCATCTTGTCAAATGCTTTCTCTGCATCTACTGATGATTATCGTGTGGTTTTTGTTCCTCATTTTGTTAATGTGGTATATCATACTGGTTTGCGGATGTTGAACCATCCCTGTGTCCCTGGTATGAATCCCACTTGATCATGGTGTATCACCTTTTTAATATATTTCTGTATTCAATTGGCCAGTATTTTGTTGAGGATTTTTGCATCTATGTTCATCAGCGATATTGGCCTGTAATTTTCCTTCTTTGTGTTGTCCTTGTCTGGCTTTGGTATCAGTGTGATGTTGGCCTTGTAGAATGTGTTATGAATTTTTCCATCTTCCTCAATTTTTTGGAATAGTTTGAGAACAATAGGTAATAAATGTTCTTTGAATGTTTGGTAGAATTCTCCAGAGAAGCCATCTGGTCCCGGACATTTTTTTAGGGGGGAGGTTTTTTATTGCTGTTTCAATCTCTTTACTACTGATTGGTCTATTCAGGTTCTCTATTTCTTCTTGATTTGGTTTTGGGAGGTTGTAAGAGTCTAAGAATTTTTCCATTTCTTCTAGATTGTCCAGTTTGTTGGCATATAGTTTTTCATAATATTCTCTTATAATCTGTATTTCTGTGGTATCTGTTGTAACTTCTCTTTCATTCCTAATATTATTTATTTGAGCTTTCTCTCTTTTTTTCTTAGTGAGTCTGGCTAAGGGTTTGTCAGGTTTTTTTTTTATCTTCTGAAAGAACCAGCTCCTTGTTTCATTGATCCTTTCTATAGCCTTTTTTGTTTCAATTTCATTTATTTCTCCTCTAATTTTTATTATTTCCCTCCTTCTGCTGAGTTTGGGCTTTGTTTGTTCTTCTTTTTCTAATTCTCTTAGATGTAGTTTAAGATTGCTTATTTGAACTTTTTCTTGTTTGTTAATGTGGGCCTGTATTGCTATAAATTTCCCTCTTAGGACCACTTTTGCTGCATCCCATATGAGTTGGTATGGTGTGTTTTTGTTCTTATTTGTCTCTAGATATTTTTTGATTTCTCCCTTTATTTCTTTGATGATCCATTGGTTGTTCAGTAGCATGTTGTTTAGTCTCCACATTTTTGTTCCTTTCCCAGCTTTTTTCTTGTAGTTGATTTCTAGTTTCATAGCAGTATGGTCGGAAAAGATACTAGATATGATTTCAATATTCTTAAATTTATGGAGGCTTACCTCATTTCCCAGTATATGGTCTGTCCTTGGCAGTGTTCCATGTTCACTTGAGAAGAATGTATATTCTGCTATTTTTGGATGGAGTGTTCTATATATATCTATTAAGTCCATCTGGTCTAGTTTTTCATTTAATTCCACTGTTTCCTTTTTGACTTTTTTGTCTGAATGATCTATCCATTGATGTAAGTGGGATGTTGAGGTCCCCTACTATTATTGTGTTGTCATTGATATCTCCTTTTAGGTTTGTTAATAGTTACTTTATGTACTTTGGTGCTTCTCTATTGGGTGCATATATAAGTGTTTATAAGTGTTATGTCTTCTTGGTGGAGTGTCCCTTTTGTCATTGTATACTGCCCATCTTTGTCTCTCTTAACCTGTTCTGTCTTGAAGTCTACTTTGTCTGATATAAGTATGGCAACACCTGCTTTCTTTTTTTTTTGCTGTTAGCTTGGAGTATCATCTTCCATCCCTTTACTCTAAGCCTGTGTTTGTCAAGCCTGTGTTTGTCATTGGAGCTGAGATGTGTGTCCTTGATACAGCATATTGTTGGGTCTTGTTCTTTAATCCATCCTGCCACTCTGTCTTTTGATTGGAGAATTCAGTCCATTTACACTTACAGTGATTATTGTTATATGAGGGCTTAATACTGCCATCTTATTGCTCATTTTCGGGTTCTTCTGCATTTCCTTTGTTTCTTGTCCCATGTATTTCGGACTACCAATTTGATTAGGTGGTTTTCTGTGATAGTTTTCTTCATTTTCTCCTTGTTTATCATATATATTTCTCTTCTAATTGCTT